TTTTTTTTTGTTTGTTTTTTTAGTGAAGTAATGTTATCTGAATATTTGCCATAAAAAATTAGTGCAACAGATAATGTTATGTACATTTGCAAATCATACAATTTAATGAACATATAAAGTTCATTATCATTTTGAGATACTCTTCTATTACATCTTCATTTACTTGATACAGTATAAAACAAATGAAATTTACTGAGTTTCAGTTAATATTATATGTCATTTATAAAGTTCTCAATTAATCAGCATCAAAAGCTCGTGAAAGTAAAATAATATAAAACACTAAATAACTGATTTGACTTTCGTCTTTAAGCTGATAGGACGACTTCCATATTCGTATATTTTTTTTTTACTAAATTTTATTTTTAATAAAAACGTAAAGCCACATTAACCTTTCCTTACTTAGACTTTACTTTTCTAGACCCACTTTCACCATCTTAATATATTACCAATAACACCCGTCTCTAAAATTTTCACTTTCCTGCTCTGCCATTATTCATAAATGATGTCAGTCTTACTTACGTAAGTTTTAAGTCAACAAATTTTAAGCGCAACTTTACGTAAAAACAAACCAAAATTCTTACTTACGCACATTTTTAGTAAAACGCTTTTATGTAAAAAATCAGACGTAAGTTATAACTTAAGCAAATCTTAGGCATAAGTATGTTAGTAAAACGCTGCCCTGGTACTTATCAAACACCCCTTGTTCCTTACTGCAAAAAGAAAACCTTTGTAGTTCCACAATATTTCCTTTAGCTTCTTTATTACTACTTAATCTTGAGCAGCTTAACTTCATCAACTTTATTTAACCTTCAGCAACATTACTTTCAAAACTTAACCTTCCCCAACATAACTTTAGCTTCAAAAACTAAACAATAGCTTCCTTTACTTAACTCTAGCTTCATAAACTTAACTTCTGCAATCTGCACTATACTTTAGTGCCATAACCTAACTCCAACTTCCTCAACTTTGCTTCTGCTTTATGAACTACTATTATAGTTAGAAGACTGACAAAACCAATATAGTGTGTTTGCGACCAGCATGTATCTAGACCAGCCTGCACCTCCACGCAGTCTGATCAGGATCCATGCTGTTCGCTATCAGTTTCTCTACTAGTAATAGGGTTTGTAAGCGAACAGCATGGATCCTGATCAGACTGCACGGATGCCCTGGCTGGTCTGGATCCATGCTGGTCGCAAACATACTATGATGGTTTTGTCATGGCGTGGCTCATTTAAATTTAAATCCCGTTCATGCTCAAAAGGTTAACTTACTTATTATCTTTGAATGTCAGTATATGTCCAACTCTCAGAAATACTGAAACAAAATAACGTGAATAAAATACACACCATTGTCTGATTGATATTGAAATTAAAATATATATATTTATAAAATACACAGGCATACCATTATAAAGGTCAAGTTTGGGTCCAAACTCTCAAACCATGATATAAACAGGAATCTGACATATAAGGTTCATCAGTCGAGTGCTTAACACATCAGACTAGTAAGCTAAGGATGACCTAGTACTCTCAGGACTGCTGGCCTTGTGGGTTCACATCCCAACAATGGCAAGTTGTTGTTTCGATACATAATTGTAATAATACCAAAGCTTTTGTAAACAAACATTATGCATTCTGCATAGTATTAACTTTAAGCACAGACAGGATAAACAATTTGAACCATTATCGATATGTGGCTTAAAGAAAATTAATACTTACACTGTTTTTCAATAAATAAGTCCAATAGGCCGTGTGTGACAGCTCAAAAAGTAACTTCGATCAATGTTCATTTTCTCTTCTTTAATATGCAGTTAAATATATCAAGAACTAAAATCCAAATTTTTGAATGCATACCGTTTTTAGTTTTCAAGATATCCTGACCAGAATACAGGCATGTAAAGTCGTAAAATATTCGATAAAAACCTTCGTTGTTTTGATATTAGTTATTTACATGAATGCGATGGACATTGATGATTGTTTGATTGACGGTTATTTAATGCACTAATGAGGCGATAAAGCAGTTTTAATCCAATTACAAAACACTTTATTTGATTTTCCCATTACTTATTCATTGTAAGCGAGTGTGCAATATATATACGAAGTCAACATTACACATATTTTACAACAGGTCATCAAATACTTAATCATAAACAAATATATTTTAAATCAAAGACAGTGATATTCATTTTTGAATACTTGAACACGTCTTCAGAGTTGCATAGATGAGTATTTAGTATGCATATGTATATTTGCTAATCACATATACATGCATAGTCTTTTTAAAGCACTGGAGTGAAATTATAACGAAAGTTTAGTTTACAGGAAAGAAGAATTCTAAAGTATGCAAAACAACAATTTATTATTTGTATTCAAACTTTTCTGTTTCAAACTAACAGCTGTGTCATAAAATAGTAAATTATTGACAAAATTATCGCTTGCAATATCATTTAATCGGTCATTTTCATTTAATTTTCAATTAGTTAAAACACTTTGGCTTTAACAATATGAATGAATGTTACAAACATCTGTAAAAGCATTTAAACTTTATATACTCTATAAAAATAAGTAGATAAACATATTTCTTAACATTTGTTGTTGTAAATATTGCTTAAAATGATATATTTATATAGTGGTCACGAAGGTTGCATGGTAACGAAAGTTAATAAAGAACAATAAACTGCTTATAATAACAAACATTCCGTTATCTTTCATGTAGAATTTGATCAATTAAGAAACTACTTAGTGTTTCATTAAATTATCTTTATAAGTATTGTATTTTTATAACATGTTTCTTGATTTATACAACTGTTTTGCTTGGATCAAAATGTATTTTACATGAAGACGGATATATGTCACTGTTATGAATTAATCATCATTCAACATCACTTTTTAAATTAATCATCACTCAACATCACCTTATCATAACATTTAATGATATTTTCTTTATCTTCTTGTTGTAATTTGTACATTCTCATAGATTTTCCAGTTGCCTCTAGAGTTGAAATTTTGCATAATATTGCGCTTTTCTTAATCCAAAGACTATCTGATCTTCGTGGCCACTGAAAAAGCTGTTTCTTGTTCTCTAAAAAGTTTACTTCTAACTCTTCGTCATCATTGTCAATTTCAGTTATTTTGCCTATATACCATTTTCTCTCGTAAATAGCCGCAATATACTCATCTACATTATAGTGTTTATCTTTAGGATCTTCACTCGTTGAAGCATCATAATTTGATAAAGATTCTTCTGTGATATTTTCCGTAATTGTTATGTCGGATGTTTTGACCTTTTCACCCCACTTGTCACAAACGGTACCTGAGACACATGTATTGCAATAACAGCTAACATCTTTCGTTTGTATTGTTGATTCACCAACGCCAACTACTGAATGGATTTTCATTGTTCCTTTCACTGACTTTATTTTCTTCTTTTCTTGTTCTACCTCTGTTTCTAAACAACGCTCCGATGACACATATCGAAATGTTACGTTATTCATGCTGGACTGTGTGGCCCAGTCAAAGAATGCTTTAGCGTCTTGTATAACAACTTTTCCGCTCCTCGTAGCTACGTCAGCCAACCGCTTACAGGTGCCGCCAAGCCCGTCGCACGGGCCCTTACCGTGGCCGGCCTCGAAATAATTCCAACGGGCTTTAATATTGTATATTTCTTTGTGATTGGCAACCATATCAAAAATATGTTTATTTCTATATTGACTTGTTGGAGAATCGCTCCAATAATGGACTCGCAACAAGTTGTGGTCTATTTCTTTCAGGAGTGGCATAATTTCACTAATAAAAGTCAAAACTGTCGAGGCTTTGTGACTCATTTCATCTGATACTATAATAAAGCTTCTGTGTTCTAGGCTGCCACTTTCTAGGCGATAGTATGCTACAATAGGATGTAGGGTAACCATAGTTTGATTAAAGTACGCGCTTTGTACCTCTTCCATTGATTTACAAGTATAATTTTCTGCAAAATCGAGTTGTAAAATCATCTCGTGTTTTGGAAGTGTTTCTTTCAATGCTCGTATTTGCTCATATTGAATCCTAACTCTGTTAACATGTTGACTAAAATCATCCATTTGTTTCTTATAATGTTCAAAGAACAGTTCACTATTTAGGTTTGATTCTATTAGTTTTGTCACATACTTTTTCTTCCCCTTTTCTTCAACTTCAATTCTTTTCCATTGCATAAAAGTTACTGATTCGTTTTTTAAATCATTTTTGACCTTTTCATCACTTGGTAGCTGCTGAATTGCCTTTTCAGGATTAACTGGTATTTCAATATTTTTTCTTCTAAGAGCTTTAAGCGTCAGGGAAGCATTTTGATGTTTAGTGCAGAGACAACTACTCCGACTTGAAAAAGCAGTGGTTAAGATATACTTTGGTCGAGACCTACAAAACGACGTAAAGAAAATATTGATTGTTGGATTTTCCGCCTTAAATTTTGCATACAAGTTTGTTAAGTAGTCAGATAGAATATAAGTCTGAACTTTTTCACCTTTTTTAATTGTCTTTGTATCCTGTTTACCTGGCTGCATTTTACTATTGTCTTCTCTCCTAAGGAAATCCTCAACAACTTTTTGATGTTTTTTAACCTTACTATTTCTTGTTGCTTTTGCAATTTGATGGTTTTTGTTGTCACTTTTTCCCAACCTATGTCTACATAAGCCTGTTGTTTTCCTCAGTAAATCGGCGCACCTGTATTTTTTTACTATTTTCCCAGATACAATTCTGTGAATTGCTTTTATACAACTTCTTTTGGTATTTTCTTTTGCGTTTCTTATTTCTTTCAAAACAACATTTCCCAACATAAGGTGCTTCTTCACTTTCGCCCTCTGATCTGGTAAAAGGTTTGCTTCATTCATGATTTGTTCTGTTATTTTTCTCGGAGTATCTTCTGCGGGGGCTTTGCTTACACTACTTTTCTTCAGTCTTTGTATTGATTTTTGTGCTGTTTTAAGCTTTCTTTGAATTGCAATTCTTTCTTCTTCAAGTTGCTTTATTCGAGCATTTGCTTGTGACATTTCTCTTTTCCATCGTTTCAAAGCACCTTTTCTTTTGTTTGAAGGAAAACTCATGCGCACTCTCAAGCGCCCCCTATCTTGAGATGAACTTGTTTCTGCACTCTCATATCCACTTGTTTCAAGATCAACAGTACTATTTCGCTGTCTTTCTTCTCTTTTACGTTGAATAAATCGTCTAAGCTTCACACGGTTCTTTTCATTTCTCAATTTTCGATCATTCTCAGAAAGTTCATGTGATGGTATATAGTTTCGTCTCATACGTTCTCTTTCTTTCCTCAAGTATTCCTCTGCATTCTTTTCTTTCAATCGTTGGCGATAAGCCTTTTGTATTTCAGCTCTGCTTTTCCCCATTGATCCTGAAATAGAATTAAACCTTCGTTACCTAACATAGACCTTCGTTACCATTGCTATATTAATACATTTTAATGAAATGAATGAATATTTCAATACATTTACGTTACACATACCTCATAACATGTACAATATTTCATTTAAAACAACTTTGCAATTTTTATTATGTTACAGAAATTACACTTTGTGAAAACATAAACATTATTTAATCGGCATACTTATATGACGATATTTATGTAGAAATGTTGTGCTTGTATGACTTTAAATATTTCATTTCACAATTAAACAGCTTTGTTAAGGAAAACCATACATAATTCTGTCAATCTCTTTAAGTAAAGTCATATAGTCGACTAAAATATCTCACATAAACTTTCGTTACTTGATCATAACGAAGGTTTACAATATTTCATATTGGTAAATATAGGTGATGGCTATATTTATGGTTTATAATGTATAATATATCAAAAATATATATATTTATTGTTCAATATCAAAATTGTAATTCAATTTAAATAACATTTAATAAAAAATACATAGAAAGTAAAATAACACCTACTTTTGTTTACAACGCGCGGAATTTTCCAGACTTTCAGACTTCCTGGGCAGTCTCGTGGTAGATTCCAATATCGTGTGACATCATAAGATTGCAATGACGTCATAGTTATGAACCAATTACTCTATTCTCGATTTGTGTGGGCATTTGTAATAGGGTAACGAATATTTATGTATCGAAGGTTTAAATTACCGCAGGTTTTGCTTTCGTAAGTGCAAAAATATTATATGAATGTTGTACAGATCACTCGTATTTTTTTGTTATATTAGGCACTTTGTATCAGGAACATCACGGATATAAGGATAAGAATAGTTTTGATTTAAACACGCTGTCACGAAGGTGTTTTTATTTACTTTTCAAACAACATATGTATTTTTAGGAGAAAATTATGATTTATTGGTTTACTCTAGTATAATGTTAATTTATTTCCGATATTTGTGATGGTCATATAAAGCATTAAACATCACATGCCGTGATTCTTTTGCCATTTTGAATAAAAATCCTATCATTTAAAAATTGATTAACGAAGGTTTAATGAACATGACAAACATTGGCGACATTAAATAAAGTGGAGTTAAAATATCCAATGTATTATATAAATCTTGCATGAATGTGTAATCACATTGTTAATACATGTATGAATGTTTTGAATCTAATTTACAACCAAACTTTACAATTACATGTTAAATATAGAACGTTACAAGTCAAGAAACGCTAAAAGCGACAGTAACGAAAGTTTACTGTTATACACGTTTTTGTTATATTTCAAAACCACCATGCTAATCTAGGCTGATTTTTTTGTTTGTGTCAATACATACGGATAGTAAGGAACACACGCACACGAAAAATATAAGTTACACTGAATTAATTTTTCTCAAATCTTTAAATATTTCAATAAATATAACCTATTTATTGAAAAACAGTGTTAGAATAAAGTTTTAGGAGTGCATTTCAGAAATTGTAGAACTGTTCTATGTCAGTAGAAGTAACAATTATTTACTGAATAAGTGGATATTTCCACAAAAAAGTTAGCAAATTTGAAATTCAAGACATTTTGTGCAAGGATATATAAGGAAAATGTGCAAGTATAGAAATCATTGTAAGGTTGGTCGACATTTATATGAGAGAAAATTTTAGCGATTTTCTACCATTCGCAAAATTACCCAATATTTCTATGTTGCTAACTTAACCACTTATACAGTAATAGTCAAAACTATAATGTTAATGCTCCGGAAGCTTTATCATTTAAAGCTGCATGCCTCCAGATGAGCCAAAATATTTCAAAAATTCAATCTTTAGCAAAAAGTTATTAAGAACTTAAGAAAAGTAAAATGATTCAATATTTAATTAATTATTTACATGTTATGTGCGATTAATGAATGATTTTGTAGTATCAATCACTATAATTCTACTGCGTTACTAACGCAATAAGAGGTATTTATGTGTATTTTGACCTCTTTTTGGTAATTTTCGTGGATTGTAAGTGCCGTTTGCAATGTGTATATTACATTCTTTGTTCACTTCACAATATTTGAATTTTAAATTTTTTTTCAAAATGTTCATGAAAATTAGCATGAATCTGGAGGCATGCTGCTTTAAGAGTTATGCTTACCAACTCCGCACATATACGCGTCAAAACCTGCTTCATGTGGTAACTCATCAGATTCTGAAGGAAAGCAACAAAATACGATACAAACATAACGACAATAAATAATTTGTTTATCTGACAACTGGCATGATGAATGAAAGTCACTGTACATACAATACTAACAATTACCAACAGGTGTTATCGTAAACTCCTAAATGTGGATCCCCCCCATGTGATCATGAAGTACAAACAAACTTTTACATTTATAGCTTCCAAGTGCAATATCATTCATACTCAAGTGTTGCATTTATATTTTTTATATATATTTACGAAGTTGTTACTGTAAAAGTAGGTAAGATAGAAAAACACACATAGTGTTTCTATTGCCATTCCATATAACAACATGCTAATTTTCAAAAACAAAAATTTCTAAATTTTTCAAAACCATTTTACATAAATGTAATTTAAAATCATTTATTCAAACTGTCATGATGCATCAGTTTATTGTAACTCCACTTCTATACCAAGCCAAGGAGATTTTTTAAACTACTTGTAATCAAACCTGGAAAAAGACCATGACAGTAATTTTATGTTATGTGAGGAAAGATGGTAAAATGACAGCTATTTGTCCTGCGCAACCATTTAGACACATCCCCATCTATTTTCCCACATGACCAAAAATCTCTGCATGGGTGACATGCTATAGAAGTAAAAACTTGAAACACTGGAGATGATTTCAGGAAGTGTTATACATGTACATGCAATTGACCACTTTGATTATTTGTTTTCTAGTGTTTTAAGCCGATTTCAACATGTTTAGGCAATATCTCGCCAGTAAAACCAGTTTTTATGTATAACTAATCAGTAATTACCAATTTCTGTAAAACGGACTGCTACATAGCCACCAGAATTCTGAGTCAGCAGTGACAGATAAATGACTTACTTAGACGCAATGTCTATGATCAACTGTCACAGAGAAATTACGCCTCAACTAATGATCGGAGCAGCAATCTATGGATTACTTTTATAATTGAACTTAGCAGACAGACCAATTGTTCGTTTCATAAATAAATATATTTTATACACTCACTATATCTGTCAAATCCCTCGGCATGGTTAACAACAGGTGAATGTAACACTATGGTTTGTCCTTTCTCACTATAAATAACACATTAAAATAAAATAATTATGGCCAAAATCAATACAAAGACAACCCTGAATATAGCCCTTTTCATTACTTCAAAATAAATAATAAGAAGGGCTTAAGTAACCAATTGTTAAAAAATTGCATAATTGTTGTACCTAATTTAACTTTTTCAACTAATGCAGGCTAGATGAATCATTATAACATCAATTAAAAGAAAAAAATGTTAAAACATAACCTGCTTTGTTTTTGTACGATTTAATCTGTTATAATCTCATAATGAGGTTTTAGTCACAAAGATACTGCTAAGGTTATAATATTATATGGCCAATATACCTCAACTTGTGGAGCAAGCTTTCGAATGCTCCTCCGTGCATTATTGAAAACACAACCAGGCATCCGGTAGAACCACCGGCCTTCCATTACGTAGCACGATAGATTCCTCACATGAAAACAAGAATTGATATACATGTATTAAGAATAAAACCTATTAAGAAATCTACAAAATGATCAATTGATTTACCTTTCTAAATCTGTATAAAGTTCACATAAGCTTGTTTGTTGCAGCATTCCAGTCTGTGTCACATCATTTAACAAATCCTTATTCTTACAAAATAAAACCAATGATTGTTCAGGGTTTGCAGCTTATGTTGTTTAAATAGAAATCATTATTGGATCCAAACTTATCACCTTGCTCATGTTTTCACTTCCAAGTCCATATCAAATTCATCATTTTCATTTGCAAATTCCAAAATCCAAAAAGTCTGTATTAAATGAGCATGATAGTCCAACTGTTTTCGTTTTCATTTTTGAAGGATTAAAAGTATTAGGGAAGGCACACTTGTAGTGTGTAGTGATAACTGTTTTTGAGAAATTAATTTATTGTTCTGAATGGAGTTTTGTCGATTTGTTGAAGTTGGTTGAATTTAATTGTGGTAATCTTAATTGATTATGGTTTATTAGTTGTAATAAGTTGTTTTGGTTGTTGCATTTTATTTTGTTGTTGAGTTTTATCTGTGTGGTATGAAATATAATAGAATATAAAAGCATCCGAGAACGAAACATTTCCGGGTGAGCATGCCCCCTTCCCCTTAGAACCCATCAAATTGGCTGCACGAACCACAAAATCGTGATGACGGGCCTGCTTTCATTACAGGTGGATGTTGGTAACTGGGATGAAATGAGAGAGAAGACTGAAAAGATTGAGACACTTGATGGACTTGTTTAACAATGCCGCTTTCTCGGATGAAGCAACGCTTTCCTCTCTTGATGTTTCAAATAAATATTTTCAGAAAATATTTTCGGTGAATCTTTTCAAGATTATAAATGCAACTCAAATCGTGGCAAAGAAAATGATAGCAGTCTTCAATCGATAACGTATCCAGCATATTTTCGAAATTTGTTGTAAACAGCTCAAATTGCGACTTTTCCATTACAGGCCAATATTTCCTTAGACATGCTTTTATTTCTCAAATTTATATAAACAGAATCATTGAAATCCTTTAATAGTTATTCTGATGAAACTAAAAATGTCACTTCAAGCTATGAAAAACTTAGTGGAGCCCATGGTATGCTTATCCCAGTGATTCAAACAATTTTATAGATCCATTTAAATGTAACATTGCAGGGTTGGTACCCCATATTTATCTCAAAATTGAAAGCATCGGTAAATATAAATGCGAATTTCCGCTGATCCAGATGTGCGTTATAACGACATGTGAAGCAAACGATATCTGAATGAGAAAATAAGACAATCGCAGAGTAAGTCTTCCACTTTAATGTTTGAACATTTATATGAAATTTAAAAGTTTTTTTAAGTACATGTATATCCAAATTATATTGTACCCTCCTGACTTTTTTTAAAATAATTACCCATATTTTTTCTGGACTTTTATGTAGTTTATCGTGCGTATGAGAATAATGTCGCTAAACGAACTCAAAATACAGTTTTAACAAAAGTTTACCACCAAACAATGCTTAACATTCAAACAAACTCTTTTTGAAACATGTTTTTAGCGAAGCTCAATTTGGGATCCATATGGGGTATGTATTTCCCAATATTATTCTATACATAAGTGACTCTTTGGGTAGGGTAAGTTTTGACCACAGCGCATAACTTTTATACTTTTTCAGAGGACCAAAGACGATCCTACAACCAAATTATTTGTGCAAGCATGTCTAAAGTTCGGGTATGTGTGGAGGTAGTGGGGAAAGGAAGCCTTCAATGGTATTCTCGGCAACAAGTATAACCACAGAGCTTTATTTAAATAAAAGTCTTTTGTATAACATAGGTTATAGGCATTTTGTTGGGTGGAGCTTGCCTCTTTCTTAGGTATATAATGGAAACAGCGGGAAGAACAATTAAAGTATTAAGTTTTGGGAGTACTGTCTTTTGGAAGATTTTAGTATCGTTTTTATCTAATTTTACGGTTGTTATTTCAAATCCTTAAAATTTCAACAAATTATGTCAATAAAATAAGGCATTTTAAATCAAACAGATGTTTACTTGAAATCTTTGATGACCATACAAGGTATCTAAGATGGCAACGCACTTTTTTAAAGAAAATATCTGACAAAATGGTTTATTAAACCATAAACTTTAATTTTGCACGCCAATTCCCCAAATCTCCTATCCCTTTCCCCTGTGCCCTTTTACTTAGTGGGCCTATTAATCAATTATCTATTTGTTTTCTTTGATTTTGATTTCCTTGTAGGTTACTATTATTTCTTCTTATGTATCATTTTAGTGCTTAGCCTGTCCGTGCTATGCCTTACGCCCTGTCCGTCCTCCTAGGCTACTTGCTGCTGGTTATAGTTGCTGGGTCGTGTGGGAGTTGCGTTCATTGAACATCGCCTTTCCTTGTTGATCTATTTCACATTCTACACTTTCGATGGCAATACTCCTCTTATGTACAATTACCCTGTAACACTTTAAACGATAAACCCCATGGAATGGTGTAAAGAAAAAACATATGAAAGAGATATTGAATTTTATAATTTCTAAAAAACAGTAACAACAAGTACTTATACAACAAGTACTTAATACTTTATGTTCATAAACTATTTCAATAATTTGATCAATATATTTTATTAATCAAAGCCTGCTACCATGGCTTTACACTGCAGAAGAAAAATTATTCATTTTTGGGTGACAAACTAAGCTACAATATGCCACTTACGCAATCAAATAATTTACTTTTTAAAAGTCATCCCATTCATTTTTTCTTTTTTTAAATTTTTACAAAAACTTTGGTAAAAATAAGAAATGGCCATAGGAAAAATCCCAAAATAATTATCACCCCCAAAACCACTGCAGAACAGTATAAAACAACAGCAAAAAACATTATGCATGACTCCCCCATACCCCAAAGTGGTTTGGATGTAAAAATGACGTCCATTTTTTCCAATGCTGACATCTTGTTTTTCCCCCAATGTGAGCTGCAAGAATACCAACTGTAGCTGTAGTTTTTCTATTCTGTCACGCAGATTTCCCCAATAATTTATTAATATTAATAGTAGAAGTATAACTGTGTCAGAAAATCTCCAACTTTTTTATTTTTTGATCAACTTAAGTCTTTTTTACGTTAATTCCATCTTTTCTGTCAATTCTCATCTTTTATATGAATTCAAGTCTTTTCCTTTAATTAGCTCTCTTTGGGTCATGTTTTCTTATCACCAGTCAATAAGGCAAGAACACAAGCACTTCCTGATAACAAAACCCCTGTCCTAAAAATATAATGAAGGAAGTATAAGATCTAGTATGTTCTTTTATCTTTGCTACAGGCTTAAGCATTTGCATTTTCAATAATTTTTTTGTCTTCAATATTTCATGAAGACTCATGATTCCTTCATAGATTGAAGGCAAGTATATTACTATAAACAATGCATTTGTGGTGAACCCATTCAAAATACATGTAGTTGATTTACATTGAAACAAGTTGGTCATATGTCTCAATACTACATAGTTGGACTATTAATATCAAAGCCATAAATTTTCATTATGTAAAATAGTTTCAACACTGTTTATACTACTTATCAGAAATAGCAGTTACAAATGAAAGACTTTTTTAATGATCCAAAGTAAAGTTTTACGCTATCATTAGAAGATAGAAGTGGATGAAATGACAAAGATTTCTATGAAATGATAATTTGATGAAAAAAAATATTTAAAATATGGTAGAAAAAACAGAAAATTAGATGGATTTCCTGACCGAACATCATTTGACATAAAATTCACCACTAGAAACCAGATAAGAATGTTGTCTAATACCTTGTGAAAACAAAAACTTACCACAAAAGTCCCCTGGCAATAGGAGAGTGTTTCCATACACTATAATATGTCACATAGATTGTGTTGTGCTGTTTAAATGCTCGTAAAATATCTTTGGCACTGTAAAAATAATAATGAAATACAAAACATTTTAATTGCAAAAAATTTACTACAATATAACATTAATTAAAGAATAAGACTATCTATATTTACTTTTCAAAGAAAAAATCATTTCAGTCACTTTCACAAAGAATTTCACGTAAATCCACACAACAAGTTAAAAACCCTTAGACATTACAGTTAAAATAAGTTATAACCTTAAACATGTGTATCATGAAATATGTTCATTTACAAACAAATAAATTAAACAAATGCTTCACAAAACACAATCGTGTTTTAAAACAATGATTATTAGCGGGTTTGGGGCAACTTAAGGTCTCGCTTACAATATTTAGGTAATATGGATATTTTTTCAGCTTTTAAAATGCATAAGGAAGCCGTAAGAAGCAAGGAAACATGTACTGTATTAAGTATTCAAGAAAGATAACTCCTCTGGTCTTATATATTAAAACATGAGTACATAAGTTGTCATTCTTTGATCCTCTTTAGTTTGCAGATATAGTTTGATAATACATGGCGTAGATGGTGTTTTTTCATTGTTTAGTATTATCCAAGAATAATACAATAAAATAAATTAATTAAAAAGTTTTGTTATTTATAACTTTTGAGGCATTCAGTAATTATTATAAGTTTAATTCTGAATGGGCTTTAAATAGTCTGTTATAGATTAATGTTCATAATAACTGTTGTTCTGTAATCAATTTCTCAGTCAAACAGTCTACTGTTCTCATATCTAACCAACATTATGTTATGTGTGGAGACAGTATATAATTTTATTATAAATTCTTGCTATGTTTATTTTTCGGTGGATTTTCAATTCACCACATACAGTATAGATTTTGACATAGAGCACTTTTTCAGGCTCGAGGAAGCACCTGAAGTTTACTTCAAAATAATTATATTTTTTGAGTATTATTTTGCATACAGTATATTATTTTTTAACACTAAATATTATAGTTAGTCAGATATCAGGATTTTGTAAAGGGCACAAAAAATAAACAAGAGGGCCATGATGGCCCTGAAATCGCTCACCTGTATAAAGGCCCCTGGGCCAAAGCCAATTTTAAACCAGGGGCTAACATTTTGACCCCAGGGCTTTTATTTCAACAAACTTGGTAGACACTCACTAGAAGATATTTCATGCTTAGTATCTAAACTCTAGCTCTTTTTTTATTAGAATTTTTTTTAAAGTTTTTACTATATACATATAAGGGAAATCAATGACCCCCGAGGTGTGGCCAATTTTTACCAAGGGCCCTTTTTGGAACAGACTTGGTAGACACTCATTAGAAGATGTTTCATGATAGAGAAAAACCATGACCCCCTGGGGCAGGGCCAATTTTTACTCCTGGGCTTTTATTTGAACAAAATTGGTAGATATCTACTAGATGATGTTTCATGCTTAATATCTAAGCTCTAGCTATTTTTGTTTTTTTAAAAAGAAGATTTTTTAAAGTTTTTAATATATACAAATAAGGAAAATGGGTCAAAGACAGAAAAGGCCGGGTTGCATTTGTATACCAAAAATCATGATTCTGTGATGTTAAGAAAAAAAATTTACCGCTGACCATTAATGTCGAAAATTTAACTAAGCCAGTTAACAGAAAAAGGATGAGCAGCAGACCTGAAATAAAATCTCAAGGTATGGAACTACATGTCAGTGCTGTATGCCAAATATCAAGAGTAGTAGTTGCTCAGAAAACTATTACGAAAATTTCCTACCATTGACCATTAATGTCGATAATCTAATTAAGTCAGTAAACAGGAAGTGGATAAGCAACACACCTGAAATCAAATCCCATATTATGGGACCATGTGCCAATGCTGTATGCAAAATATGAAAAGCTGTGATAAGTAGTTGCTGAGAAAACTGTTACGAAAAGTTTTTCCCTGCCCAAAAGCCACCAACCGCCGCCCGACATTCACCTTACTATAACCCTGGTTTGCATGTCGAAAATTTAACTAAGTCAGTAAAAGGAAGTGGATAAGCAACATACCTGACATCGGCTGCTACAGTATGGGACCACATGTCAATGCTGTATGCCATATATCAAGAGGCTGTGATTAGTAGTTGCTGAGAAAAACCATTACGAAAATTTCCTACCACTGACCATAAATGTCGAAAATTTAAATTTCCTACCACTGACCATAAATGTCGAAAATTTAACTAAGTCGATTAACAGGAAGTGGATGAGCGACAGACCTTAAATCAAATCTCACGGTATGAGACTACATGTGAATGCTGTATGCCAAATATCAAGAGGCTGTGATAAGTAGTTGCTGAGAAAACTGTTACGAAAATTTCCTACCATTGACCATTAATGTAAAAAATTTAACTAAGTCGATTAACAGGAAGTGGATGAGCGACAGACCTTAAATCTAATCTCACGGTATGAGACAACATGTGAATGCTGTATGCCAAATATCAAGAGGCTGTGATCATTAGTTCCTGAGAAAACTGTTACGAAAATTTCCTACCATTGACCATTAATGTCAAAAAGTTAACTAAGTCGATTAACAGGAAGTGATGAGCTACAGACCTGAAATCAAATCCACGGTATGGGACCACCTGTCACAATGCTGCATGCCAAATATCAAGAGGCTGTGACAAGTAGTTGCTTAGAAAACTGTTACGAAAAGTTTTTCCCTGCCCAAAAGCCACCCACGCCGCCCGACATTCACCTTACTATAACCCTGGTTTGCACCAGTGCAAGCCCGGCCAAAAATCAATGACCCCCTATGGCAGGACTAATTTTTACCCCAGGGCTTTAATATTCTTACTATTAACAAATAAGTTAAAGGGCAGGGCCAATTGTACCCCAGGGCATTTATTTGAACAAACTTGGTAGACACTGATTTGATAACATTTCATGCCAAATATTTTAAGCTCTAGCTCTTTCGGTTTTCTAAAAGAAGATATTTTAAGATTTTCTTTCGGTTGCCATGGCAACCAGAGTTCTGCTTCGAATTAAATTCTTTGAATACTTTTTTAAAGTTGACTACTAAAAGGAACATTCCTGTGAAGTTTGGATGAAATTGGCTTAGTGCTTTATGAGGAGATGTCGTTTAAAATAAAAGTTTACGTACAGACACTGGATCACAAAAGCTCACCATGTCACTTTGTGACCGGTGAGCTAAAAACAGATTTTAAATGTCTTACCAGTAGTGATTTGATGTAGCAACCAATGCTTTATTTGGCCATATGCTTTCACATCCACATTACCATAGGGGAGAACCACTTTTGCTAACTGTAACAATACAATAAGTAACATAAAATTACTCTTTATACAGCTACAATTATATACTATAAACACGGTCTTCATCTCTACATTTTCCCACTTCTGTCCACAAGCTTAGCTTAACAGGGAGCACATAGTTTGAAATCTAGGTTTTGTTTTATTGACCCTAAATTAGGCTTAATTTCTCTTTTAAACAAATTTAAATTTAGTCTGAATTGACATTTTCAAATTTTTGTTTTGCAATTAGAAAGTTAACAAAAACCCCTCCCAAAATAATATATAAAAATTTTTAATTTATGTGGGCCTCCTTAAGATTTTATCTAAACCTCTGATATTAAGTCTAAATCAACTAGTCTCCAGCTGTTTAAAAACTCCCCCTGAGTTTTTACATGACACTTGAAAAAATTTTCGAAAATTTAGTTTTCATTTATTTGGTCTAGAAAAAATAACTCATTTAAAATCTCTCTTACTCTTTAACAGAAAAGTATTTTTATTTTATAAACACTTTAATTGAAACATGCAACGTTTTCGCCTGAATCGGGCAAACAATAGTATAAAACATTGCAATTTATTTTCTCAGAATATTTCTAAATTATTTTTATAGAATAATCATTCTGTTAAAGTGCCCCTAGCTGATCTATCAAGAAAACAACTCTTTACAAAGAACACATTCTATTCCAATAATTCCCCTACTCGCGTTAGAACCCCAGCAACATTCTGAATGGGCCATTTGGCCATTCAATTTTACCAGTGAATGAATGACCATAAATGAACTAAATCTTTTATTCTAAGTTTTCTATATCACAGTAATGTTGTTAAGTTTCCCCTGCCTAGTGAGAAAATTTTGTTTATACAACCTTGTCATATTATTACGTATTATTGTGGGATTTTAAAGTAAATCTTTAAAGAATGAAGAAGTTGGAGTGAAAAATACCAAAATTTCTCGAAAAAAAACTAAGTTCAAGGGGACATAATTCTGGAAATAGTCTTGCTAGAGTATTTTTAACCTTCTCAAAAATGTTGTATGATAATTAAAACATATATATATGAAGTTTGAAGTAAATACATTAGGAAATACAGAAGTTAAAAGACAACATTTTTTTTCCATAAAAATTCTAAGTTCAAGGGAGGTAATACTGAAAAGTTTTTAGGTGCTAAAGTTGTAAACTTTGTCACATATGATGTGGTTGATGACCAGAAAACTTATATTTAAAGTTTGAAGTAAACAAAGAACTTATAGTGAAAAAGCTGAAAAATTTAAATCAGAAATCTTGAAATTCAGTCTATTTGTTGCCATAGCAACCAGAATTTTCAACATAGGAAGAAAAAAAAACGTGCATACTAGTAATCTCCATACTGCCATCTATACATATATCAAGTTTCATAAACATATTTTCAGTACTTTTAAATTGTGGTTATCACGGGATCCAGTTTTGTGGACGGACGGACTGACAGACAGACAGACGGATGGACAGACGGACGGGACGGAGGGTAAGTCTAAAGTCCCCTCCGGTTTTCAACATAGGAAGAAAAAAAGACGTGCATACTAGTAATCTCCATACTGCCATCTATACATATATCAAGTTTCATAAACATATTTTCAGTACTTTTAAATTGTGGTTATCACGGGATCCAGTTTTGTGGACGGACGGACTGATAGACAGACAGACGGATGGACAGACGGACGGACGGAGGGTAAGTCTAAAGTCCCCTCCGGTCTAAGGGACTAAAAAGTTCTACAACTTTTTTTACTCATATTGGGCTAAAAAATGCATAAAAATTGATGTTTAATTTCATTCTGAAATTTTTTTATTATTATCCTTGCATTGTCTTTTTATTTCATTTTTAGTGCTTTAAATTGCTCTGTATGAGCTCCTTTTAAAGTCACCATTGGCATGTGCATGTACAAAAAAATCACATGAAAAGTTTATAATGTAAATTTCAAGTGTGAATTACCTTGAGCAAATGAATGACTGAGATAACTTTACAGTATGTTACAGTAAACATTACCTTCAATTGTGACCAGCAGCTATTCTAGCTATTCCTGACACTTAACTTATTTGAATACATAACAAGTTAATAAAACTATTTATCGATTTGAAATACTCAAGTGACATTGATTGGACACTGTAGAATGCATGGCAACTATCAACCATAATGTTTGAGACAGACCTAATATAATTTCAAAGCAAAAGCAGTCACCTAAAATTAAGTCACCGACCATTGGAATCACCCGTTTTGTCCACAGGTCACTAATGAAAAGGGAAAATCATGCAAAATGCACAAATATTCGTTTAAAGGGATTCCACTGAGGTTTTTTTGACATGATGGGAATGAAAATATTTTTTCAGATAAATGTACCATTTGATTGTAGGTTTAAACCCACTAATATTTGTGCAAAATTTCAGATCATTCACGCACTTCGTTTTCTCCAGAATAATTATTCAAATTGTAAAAACAATGACCCAAAATGAAAAGCGTTTAAATGCTTTTCACTCAAATTGGGCTAAGAAACCAGACAAATACGATTTTTGCAATTTATTCAAAGTATATTTATAAACTATCTTTGCATATATTTCCGTTTAAAATGCCCCAGCTCATTGATGTAAGAAATTCAAAATGCTATGTTTTAGGCTTTAAAACCTCAGTGGAGTCCCTTTAAAAGTCAATTTGCTTTAAGTTTAAATCATCATGAAAGAAACTCTTCATTTACTTATAAACATTTATAAAAAGAAGGACTAGTTAGCTAACCCCTTTTACCTGATTCAATGTTTAATTTTTGTTTAAACATTTCTCCCACGTACTTACAGCAGCTCTGGTCTTATTGATTTATGGTCGTCACCTTCTAAGTTCTTAAAAACAGAAAACATATTACATGTAGAATCACACAAAAGTCAAACAAATAATAAGCTAATCTGAGTACAGGCACTCTTCACTTTCAAATCAGAGCTGGAGAGTATAAAAAAAAAAGGGATATATCTTGCAAAAAATAGTCAAAGACAAAAATGTCCGGGCTGCTTTTGTATACCAAAAATATCAAATTAGTCTGTGAATGTTATGAAAATTTTATACCATTCACCATCAATGTCGGAAAAATTTAACTCGGTCGGGTAAAAAAGGAAGTAGATCTTGTGACAGACCTGAAATCGAATACCACAAGTATTGGACCACTTTTAATGCCTGTATACCGATATTTAAAGTAAAAAAGGCCCCCCCCCTATGGAAAAGATTCATGTAGTTGGGCTGAAAAAATTTGTTATGAAAATGTCGTAACCACTAAACCAAATGTTGAAGTGGGTTTAAACCCAGGAATTTGGATAAAGGGAAAGCCCCTAAAATCGAAACCTTTCCCTGTATGAGCCCAAACGTTTTTTATGCTGTTTCCCAAATTTTAAAAGAGGCTGTGAAAAAGAAGTTTGCTGAGAAAACTTTTTACAAAAAATTTCCTAACATTGCCCAATTTATTTTTGAACAGTGAACGACAGCCCTTTGAAATTTTAATCCCCAAGTAATCGGACCAAAATTTAAATTTGCTTTTAATACCAAAATATAAAGAGGTTGGGGATGTGAGTTGCTGAGGAAACTGTTACGAAATTTTTTTTCCCTTGCTCCCCCCCCTGCTCCCCACTTTCCCCGCCATTCAAATTTTAATACTTTGTGCCAACCCAAAACTTTAAAAAAGTTCCTTGGAGACTTATCTCCCTTTAATTTCCCAAAAGACTTGCCTCAAGGATATCAACCAATGTAAAAGTGAAAATAATAATAAATTGGTGAATAGGCATTTTAATAAAATTGACTTTTTACAGAAAAACAACTGTTTTGGCCAATTACAAGAACTTGAACAACAGTCCTTGTTTTCTGTTTTTCTATGAATAACAAAAACAAAAAATATGCAAACACATTTCAGTAAGTTTTTCTTATAAAAAACTTCAATATAAATTTAGTAATTTCCCCCAAGATAATTTACCAGGAATAAAACATCGTTATTTGAAGAGTCTCCACCACCAAGAAGGTAAGGGCCACATAATGTGTGCATTGCAAGGGTTTAAAAAAGTAAAAAAGTTAAAACATGTATTCTTTATCTACATTAAACTAAATGTCCTTGCAATGAAAATGCTTTTCATATATCAAATTATAAAATTACACACTGGAAAGGGTTTCCGTTCAAAACTTTGGGAAAAAGACAAATCCACTGCACTCAACAAAATTTTTTAATTTAATATAAAAGGACAAAAACTAAAAAAAGGGCAAGGTTGGAGAAATTAAAAAAACTTTTCACAAAATTTTAAGAATTACGGGGGGGTTTGAACATTTGAATGCATACCTTAATAAAAGGTTTTGGGACAAGGCTGTAACACTAAATAAAGCTTTGGGCCCAACTTTTTTCGTCCCCAAAACAGTTATTTGATACTATTTAACACTTTTTAACCCCAAAACACCCAAAAACAAACAAAAAAAAAAGATAAATGATTTTTTTAAAAAATGTTTTTTAAAAATTGCCCATTAAAAACTAAAAAAAAAATTGTGTAAATTTTTGGGCATGATATATACTTTTTTGGGATTGAAACCCCTATGTTTAACTGAACCTTCTTTAAATCATTTAAAATGGGAAATAGTTTTTGTAAAACCCAAAACAAACCAAAACCTAAATAAAGGGTTATTTTAAGACCTGTTATTATTGGGATTTTTTGTCTAAAAAAATCTGTTTTTAAAATGTTTAAAATATTTTCAAATTTTTTGGTAATTTATTATACCAGCAACTGTAATTTTTTTTATTCCTTTTTAAGATAATCAAATTCATTGGTAGGAATAACTGAATATAAAAAAGAAGAACTGGTCAAGGAAAAGACAAATTGCCCCCAAAATGTTAAGTTTTAAAGGGTGGATACCAAGTTATTGTCACAAATAAGAAAAGGAATATATAACACTTTTCAATAATAACCCATTAAATAGTATATGTAGGGGTTGTATTAATGAATATATCTTTAAAAA